GGAGGGTGCCGGAGGCGGGGTCGTCAGGGTGTCGGAGGAGGAGGGGGTGCCGAAGGAGGAGGTCGTGAGGGTGTCGGATGAGGAAGGGGTACCCGAGGCAGAGGTCAAGAGGGTGCCGGAGGAAGAGGGAATACCCAAGGCGGAGGTCATCAGGGTGTCGGAGGAGGAGAGGGTATTCGAGGCAGAGAGGGTACCATATCAGACGCTAGACTCACTGAACGTAGTTTTGTGTCGGAGAGGACGAAAGAGGTGGTCCCGATGGTAGGTGAGGGAGTGTCGGATATTGGGAGGGTTTCACGTACTGTTGATGTGTTGGAGCTGGTGGTTGGCAAGAGACCGAGGGCACCATCACAGTACGTCGTTCTCCGTTTACCGCGAAGGCAAAAATGAGGAAGTTCGTTGATGACACGCACCCGAATTTATTCAGGGAGGTAGACCACGCCAAGTGAAAAGCGTTCGAAGCGGAGTGGAGAGTACTTATGCCCAGGTAAGTATTGTATTATTCGTTAAGGATTAGTATATTACGCAGATGCTGATACATCTATATTTTTTATTAACAATTTCTTTTCTTATTTTTCAGAGTCAGTCGCAGGATTGCTCATAAGACGATCTCGGACACTTACAAGTGGTTTTACGACATCACAACTTAGAGGGCTTAGCTCCTCAATGATGCAAGTGAAGTAGTAATATTGTTAATTATTACGTATACATATTTTTGCGTTTTGCATTTATGAAATTAAATAACTCATTTTTTAATTGGTACTTCTTGGTGCAGCACATTGATTTCGTCATGGATTTGCTACGAGATCGAGCTGAACGACATCCAAAATCGTTCAAAATTCCTGGCCGACTCATATTGAACACTAAGTTCATATGTGCCGTTGACATTGAGTACCAAACATTGCAAGCTATGGGTAGCAAGTACACAGTGCCTACATACATGATGGAGTGGGTTGTAGAAATGTAGCCGAGTGTCGAGGGAAAGCCATAGGAGGGTTGTACACATCTGTACATTCCGGTGTGTGTCAATCATTACTACATTGCAATGAAAATGGTATTTGTCGACTCGACTATGTATGTGTATGACCCCGATCATTCATACCTGACACAAGGTCAGCTCGAGCAAAATCTGTAGTCGGTGTCTGTGATCGTCCCCATACTAACTAGACGAGCGAACATTACTGTGCAGGACAGACTAGTCACCGTACGGGACACGATGACGACGAGACAACAAATATCGGAAGTGTTTATTATTTTATTTTTGTAATTTACAACTTACGTTCTAGTTAGACGGTGATGTGCTAATACAATATTTTGTAATTGTAGGGATGATTGTGGCATATTCGCTATCAAGTACATATAATTTTTGAGTGTAGTACAGAAGGTTGATACAATCAACCAGGCGAGGCTACAAAATTGGAGAAATAAATTAGCTTGTGATTTATTTGAATTTAATGGTAATCCGTAGATATTGAGCCGTATTTCTTTAAAATAATTGTACATATTGTAATGTTTAAGCATTGTATATTTCATTCATTTATTCATTTGTAATTACGAAATAATTATAAAACATATATTATTTTTTTAATATTTAATTTTTATTTTTTATTTTTTAGTTTATGTGTTTATTTAAGTGTTTCATGACGTATTTATAATGTTTGGATATATTGTGGAGAATGCACTGATTTTTAAAAAAGGATTAACTCAAATATTACGGAACTAATTAATGAAATATTAAAATAAAAAAACTAAATCTAATAATTAACATAAATAATTAACATTAAGAATATGCGTGAATAATTAATATCAATGTTATAAATAATGTTACATAGACTTCAATTATACATCCGTTACGTTGTCATGCAGTGAGATCTGACTTGTACAAAATCTTCTAGTATGTCCTGTTGCACCGCACCTGCCGCACTTACGAGGTCGAAAAAATTCTTCGGTTGATGGTATTCTAGACGTACGTGTACGTTCAGGAGTACGTGGACCGACTACTGGTGACAACAAGTTATTCAATGAGAGAATGTGATCGGGAACTTCCCACTTGACTTCATTCGGTACAGGAAATGTGGTTTCGGCATATGCTGCTCTCTAAGAACCAGTCGTGTAATAAGCACTGCATAAGGTGTGTGGTGAAATTCCTCTATACATAGCCACCGCCACTGCATGTGTATACGGAAAACTCTCCAACTGAAAGTGTCTATGTCGACGATGTATCTGAAATTACGTGCACATCTTGCGGAGAAGCGAAACTGATCTAGTGGTTCTACATATACCTTTCTTGCCACCTCTAGAGTTTTGAAGAGTTTATCTTCCTGAGCCGGGGTTAACACACTTGTGCAACTTTGTGATTCCTCACGACGATCATGAAACCATTGTTGCAACTTGTCACGAATGTTCTCAAGCATTATGAGAATTGGTAACTCTCGATCCTTCTTAAATAAGGCATTGAGTGACTCTGCATTGTTCGACGTCATCATGTTATATCGACGTCCTGAAAAATGTGATCGTGTCTAATGTTCGATCCCCATCTCTGTCAGATACTCCCATGCATCATAGGATTTAGTTTCGATTTCAACCATAAACTTTTCAAACTCTTGAAAACTGTAAGCCTTTGCAACTCTCCTAAACAACATAACAATGCCCTTGCCTCGATACTTGATCTTCAGATTTCCTTGTATATGGTACATACAATAACCATGATGTGCCTCGGGGAAGACTTCGGAGATACCGTTAATTATTGACTGCCTTCGATCGGTTATGAATGCAAGGTTCTCGACATCCCCAATTACTTCTCTCAACTTCGTGAAAAACCAACGCATTGCCAAATCATTTTCTCAGTCAACTATGCTCAATGCAAGAGAGTAATTTTGGATGTTAGCATCTTGACATGTTGTAATAATCAACTTGCCCCCATATCTCGCCTTGAGGATTGTACCGTCGGCTAGGATTAATGGTCACATTGCATTTCGAAATCCTCGAACACATTGTCCAAGGGCCATAAAGAAATACTTGAAGCGATTCTCGTCATCCTTCTCAATAAAAAATACCGATTCAGTATTAATTCTTTCCATGTATAGCAAAACCTGACCAATTAAATAAACAGTAATCATAATTTAGATAATTAAATAAACAATATCAAAAAACTGAAAAATTATTAAATAATTAATTACACATTAGACAAAGAATTGATAAATAATTAAAAAAACAATTGAAATTAATGATTGAATTAATTAGATAATTATTAAATAAACATCCAAACAAAGAAATACCTGGCCAATTTAACATAACTCTCTTCGGTCGAACCCATCAAGTCCTCCAACGCGTATTCTTTAGCTTTTCAAGCCGTCTAATAACCCATGACCACCCCATACTCTCGACGAACGTTATTCATAATGTCCGAAAGTCTGTAGATTGTTCGTGGGTCCTGAAATTTGTACATTACTTCTCGACTAATGAACCATGATCGGGCTTGCCCGTGATCATTTCGACGAATATCCACTTCGCAAGTATGTTCACGAACCACAAAGAACTCATTTGTGTCTATTTTCGTTGCTCGCAAATGCCAAAGGCCACTGTCGTCAACACAGATAGTTGTGTAAGTCGACTTGTTTGATTTCTTCACTTTAAACTCAAAATTTTGTTTCAAAGCAATCCGATGAACAGCTTCCTGCAAATTTTTCCTCGTGTCAAACAGTTGCTCGACATACAAATCTTCATCATCGAGCACTATACGCGAACAATTAGAGGACCGTGCACTCGGTCTAGCCTGTGAGCTTCCACTCGACGCATGTCTCAAACGGGATAAAGCAATCAAATTCTCATTTGTAAAGTCATTATCTCTTTCGTTGTCTTGAACTACCGAATAAATTCTGTGTAACAGTGAGATCATAGTGAGGAGCAACTGTCTCTGGAACAACTACAACATCATCACGCACTATTTCCACTGTGTCCCAAAACTCATTCACATTACGATTCCCTCTATCGAAGTTCATTCTCGAGGGCATTTTTCTTCATCAAAGTTACGCAAATAGGAATCGCACGTTTCTGGTTCATTTCAATTAAAACTTTCATTTTAGTTTCAGAAGTAAACATTATAGGTAGAATTAAAATGGATGTATTCTCGTCCATTAGAATTTCCAATTCCATGTCGTATTCAGAGGGATCGACTTTCAGCAAGTTCTGTATCTCATTGTACATTTCTGCATATGATGTATTTGATGTTATTGCAATTGCAGTACAACCATGTCTTTCACTTGTCCATTTTCACACCCATCGATCATTGTCATTATTTTCTAATTCATCAAAGTAACAAATCGGGATAGCAGCTGATCCCATATCTGCATTAAAAAACATCATTTATTAAAAAAATTGTAATTACGAGAATAAAATGACAAAAAAAATATGACACAAGGAGGAGAAAAACGACGTGTTCGGGCAGGCTGTTAAACATCCGGCCCGGACACTTTTTGGTCAGCTGTCTTCTACATTTTGCATCTGAACAGATAAGTTTTTTTCCTTGTTTTTGTTAAAAAAATTATACATCCATTTAAGACTGTAATATTTCATTTTTCTAAAATCATATGTTGAAATAAAATTTAAATATTCAAATAATGTACTAATTTAATTAAAATGAAATTAAACATACGTATTTATACTTACCAATTTTAAGTGCCGACTGTAAGTAATATTTTTTTGTTGAGCTTTTGATAATTTTTTGAGATTTCAATGTTTAAGCAGATGGAAGAGGAATTTTTTTTTAACTGTATTGAAAAATCTGATAAGAAAAGTAATTTCGTTTTGAAATTTAAGTAAGATTGTTTGGATTTATTAATTTTTTAAAAAAAATATTATTATCTTTTGGACAAATAATATATTTTTAAAATTACAACACATAATAACGACAAAAATGATATTTACTCTTCAAAATGCTCTTTTGATGTATGGAAAAAAAAATTTGTTCAATGTGAAAATTTGACAATTCTTAAAATACCCCGCATAATGAGTCCTTTTAAACAGAAATTTATTTTTTCTGAAAAAATGATTTGAATCATTCATTTGATTGATGCAGCCATAGCAATTAGGGAAATTCCTCTTCAGTTGTACAGAAAGTCGAATCCTATGCTTCGTTCTATTATGAATTTTAATTAGCACTTTCTCGAAAGGTCTCGTTCCGCCAAGAAACCGGCGATCGGCTCCGGCAACCGGAAAAGAGAAAAAACAGAACTTGAGAAACGGTGAAATTCACTTCAATCTCCTGCAATAAAAGTTATAAATTCATTCGTTTCAATTTGGGCTATTGCTTTCTATTAACCTCTCCATCAGCCATGAAAAGCGAAGAATCTGCGGAGAAGAAAAGTAAAGAATTGGAGAGAAGAGTACTGGAGAAGGTGGAACACACAATTACATCTATCAATGTCTCCAAGCACGTCGACGAAGTCATCACAGCCCTCTACTCTCTCGCCGCCTGCCTCTTCCCTCTGAATCCCCACTCGTTTTCAGGTTCTCGATTAAATATACTATCTTTTCATTTTGGAAATTTTAATTTCGTTGGTTATAGTGTGAAACGGCATTTCTGCAAGAAATTTTAGAACTAGGTTATATATTTAATATTGTGATTCTTGAGTACTAATTAACTAATTAATTTTTTTGATAATATAGGTAGTGTTAGTGAGAAATACAGAGATAAGGTATGGGAACATGCATATTCTTCTTGTGTAGTTCATGGGATTAGATTCTTAAATCATAAGAAAAGAAATATTTTTGTTTTTTGGTTTTTGGGTAGTTACATGCTGTGGAGTTGCCAAGTGAAAATGAGAGGACCGAATGGTGGCAGGTTTTCTACAAAGGTTCCTCATTTCGTGCTTTTGCCCGCGTTTTATTATATGGTAAATTTTCTCCGCCTTTAGAGTTTTCATATGTGCATTATATTATTGTGTCCGAAGTGTTATTTCAATCTGGTCTTAAGGGCTGTCAAATAATAGCAAATTAACTTTTGTTCAAGTTCCTGATTGAAAATGAATAATGCCAAAAAAGATTCTCCAGCTAGGGCAAAAGTGTAAATCTTAAAATCTATGATGCTGTTTTCGAGATTGTAGTATGCTTGCCCATCATCGTAAATGGTTGTATTTATTTTCAAATTGGATTGTGGCCAAACGAATAAAACTCAATTTTGGTTTGAAATGTTAACAAAAATGTTTATGAATTAATCTGAAACTTTTGGAAAATGAGATTCTGTTCACAACTATGTTATATACCTTGCTACCCTGGAAGAATATTGCTAAACATCATATCTCAGTTAGTTAGAGTCACTTGTATTCATGCTTTATGTCTCTACGTCATGGTTTCATCCACTCATAAATTGATCTTGATTATCTAAAACCTCCTTATCATTATTGTTATATGTTCTGACTCAAAATTCCTAGCCAATCCAAATCATTATGTTCACCACTTAGTTTGAAATAACCTATCAATAATCTCTTTTGGTCTCTCTGTTTCTCTATTCCTTTTACAAGTTCTATTGATCGACTGTGCTAATTTTCTGTACAGTTTCATCCTTTGGTTTCTTACAAATCATGTGATTGTGTATAGATATCGCTTCCAGTTGGCTGGCATGCTTCCCAATTTCTGCAAGGAAAGATGTGTATGATTTGTTCTTTGTGAATGGTAGCACTGCCGAGGTGGTTCAGGTGGTTGTTCCTTGTCTACAACACATTAGAAATGACAGTACCGAAACTGATTCTGTGTGCGCAAGTGCTGAGAGGTAATGAGAAAGAACTAATTTAACTCAATTATCTCTCTTGATTATGTTGCTTTTATATCTGCCAGTCTGTAATTCATTGTTTCGCATGTCTATGCTATGCACATTTGATGTTCTATTTGCAAAGTTGTTTTCAATACAGTTACAAGATAGATTAAATAATTCGTTAAATTGCATGATGTTGACATTTTCGATAATCGAATCTGACAGAGAATAGAAGATTGAAAATATGAATTGTATTGATATACCATCATTATTAAAATAGTTTATATAGCTGAACTGAATCAGCAAAATAAGGAAAGTTACCCAAAAATAGAAGATACATAGAAATTCAATGCCTAGAAATCAGGGATTGCAATAACTATACTAAAAATAAGCAACTATAAAGATTACATAATATTACATAACTTCACAAAATTTTCCTAAGTTGGGAAAATTATATTTTCCACAGAATCTATGATATCTTTGATCTGTTTTTGACACACTGTAATTCATTTTTTTTTTTTAAATTTGCATGTTGGACTATGGTCCTGTGCTTGAATGGAGGCAAAGATACTGCTATTTTTGAGGTTTAGAATATTCTTGTATTCATGTCAAAATAATTTAGGTTTAGTGTTCAGACCTTGACTTTTGATTTCTGAGATTAAAATTATTAGGCAGGTCTGCATGATTAAGTCTAAGGAAGGAACCGTGTCAGCTTTGAAACTTTAACTGAAAAAGGTTATCTGATAGACTTGATTTGAAATATCTAAGGCTTAGTAAAGAGTTCATTCTTTGACTCCTAATGTGAGTGTGAAAAGGCAATCAAGCAAGGTGCGAAGCGCTAGTTGAGCTAAAGGAATATGGTAGGAGTACAACAAGCAATCAAAGAAATGCTGGCATTGGTAAACCAATGTTCCGACTAAAGTTTCTAGTTCTAGACGGTGAGAATGGCAAACCAGCGGTCAGTGAAGCTGCTTCCTGGAGAAGTGTTATTTCATCTGCAGTGTAGTTTATTTTTGGGAATATTGATTTTGCTTCCTGTAATGTATTTAGCTGTTCTGTTTCTAGTAAAAGCACGATTCATATAGAACATAGGTTATCTCTAGTTCTTGTTTATATTAAGTTAGTGAAACAGAATGTATTAAACGAGAATGGGACTTGACAAGAAAGGGAGAGAATCAAGAGAGTATAGAGGGAGAAAATATGAGCTCATTCCATATTCAAATCTAAGTTTTACAATGAATAGACCCTATTTATATAGAGTTTAAGTAAACCTAATTTAAAATGAAATCAAAGGCAATAAAACCTAATTTAAGTCAAAGTAGAAAAATTATAAAATAAAACCCTGATTCCAGTCAAACTGTAAAACTATTAGTTTATTCCTAATCTACTAAGCATATCGATTGTTCTTATCTCTAGTTGTTGTTTATACTAAGTGAATGAAATAGAATGTAATTAACGAGGTCTGGACGTGAGAAGAAAGGGAGAGAATCTAGAGAGTACAGAGGGAGAAAATATGAGTTCGTTCCATATTCAAGTCTAAGTTTTTCAATGAATAGACCCTATTTATATAGAGTTTAAGTCCTAAATTAAAATGAAATCAAAGGAAACAAAACTTAATTTAAGTCAAATTAGAAAATTTATAAAATAAGACCCTGATTCCAGTCAAACTATAAAACTATTAGTTTATTCCTAATCTACTGAGGATATCTATTGTTCTTATCTCTAGTTGTTGTTTATATTAAGTTAGTGAAACAGAATGTAATAAACGAGAACTGGACTTGAGAAGAAAGGGGGAAAATCAAGAGAGTATAGAGGGAGAAAATATTAGTTCGTTCCATTCAAGTCTAAGTTTTACAATGAATAGACCTTATTTATATAGATTTTAACTGTTTAAGTAAAACCTAATTTAAAATGAAATCAAAGGAAATAAAACCTAATTTAAGTCAAATTAGAAAATCTATAAAATAAAACCCTCATTCCAGTCAAACTATAAAACTGTTAGAGCCTATTTGATAGGCCATGTTTTCCATGGAAAATGGAATTTAAATTCCATTTCCAACCAAAATGACATGTTTGATAGCAATTTTTTCCATGGAATTTGTTTTCCTTCAACCCCTCACGTGACTGGATTTTCCATGGTTTTAAGGAATTAGTTTTCTTTGGGTTTTGGTGGGAAAATGCTTTTCCAGCATTTTTTTTTCCAGCAATAAGATCAAATTCTATCCTCAAATGTAAAAAATTTCATCCATTTAATTGACAATTTTCATGGAAAACAAAGCCTAATGAACACCAAAAGATCTAAAATTTCAGCTTTTTTCAAATGAAAAATTATACCAATCAAATACATTTAATTAACAATTCCCATTAAAACAAGTTCTAAGCGATTCAATTCCCTGAAATTCATTTTCTTTCCACCCAAATTTTATTCTTGCAATCAAACGGCTCCTTAGTTAATTCCTAATCTACTAAGGATATCTATTGTTCTTATCTTCGTTCCCCATCAGTTTGAATGCAATTTGGGCCATAGACTTGAGTTGAAAATTTTTCAATATATCGTCTGGTTTGAGCAGTTTGGTTTCTAATTCCAAGCGACTGTATGTGGCTTCCTGCAATGTAGTATTGGTTATTAATATAGCCATTACGCACATATTGGTGCTGTGTGCTTTCTGTGACTTTTATCACAACTGAGCGACTGAATGTGGCTTCCTGCAATGTAGTATTGGTTATTATTATAGCAATCACGCACATATTGGTGCTGTGTGCTTTCCGTGACTTTTATCACAATTGTATATGTGGTTATCTGATACAAATTGACATATCAGGATGAAAACACATCCCAGCTTTTTTTCTCTCTTTCTCAGGATGTTTTAGAAAAGAAAACTAATAGAATATCAAAATTTTTCTAACATGATGTTCATAACAGGTTACTTGTACTTTGCTTGCTCGAGAACGATGGGGTACTTAAGATAGTTAAAGAATTTACTGGTTATTGTCACTCTGAAGATCTGAGTCATGAACAGCTCAAGCAGATTATTTCTAGGGTGGCACAACTTGTCACAGCTATTCCTGACAAAGCAAGAAGAGGAGCCCCTATTTCACTTTCACCTCAGTATCCTAGTCTAAATAAGATTGCTTCTTCATAGTATATACTGATTTGCATGCATCGTGCGCACATGAAGCAGGATCCACTCTGTAACACTTGGAGTGGCGGGAAGTTATTGTGGATAGAAAAGCAACTCAAGTTTTAGATTTTTACTTTAATTACCCGTTCTTTTTCTTTTCAACTTCCCTTTGTGTTCTAATTTTTATCCTTTACTAGTGTTCCAGTTTGTTTTTCAAAAGAATTACAGCTCAGCTTCTAAATGGAATAGAAGAATGTGACATGAATTTAATTGACAAACGAGATACTTTTAATGACATTAACATGGATGGTGCTGTTCTTTTTGTTGGAGAAGTATTTGCCCGCATTTGTCGCCGAGGATCTGCAGGTACTCTAAAATATTTGAGCCTGAAGTTCTTGGAGTTATACTGATTTTTAACATAAGCTTGTTTCAAGAATAAAATATAATAGCAGATTTTACTGTTTTCAGATGTTCTGTTACGTGAGGTTATACCACGGATTCTTGGGCACATTCGGAGCTTGTTATCATCCACCACTATTTTGACGCTTAATGAAACAATTGAGTCAAGACCTGGTTCTCGCTTTTGGTTGAAGATCATGGAGACAATAAAAGATCCCTATTCTGTGGAAAGAATAGCTGAACAGGTCTTGCATCAACTGGCGGCTCAGAATGCAAGTGATGTTGAAGGTTATTGGATCTTGTGGATTCTCTTTCATCGGACTTATAAGCGCCAAATTTCAGTCAGGTATTTGAATTATCATGCCTTGTTTGATAGGAAGTTCGAAGTTATTTATGCGGTCTTTCCCATCCTGCTCAGATGCATTAATATTGTGTTGTTTAAACTTCAGTAAATGCAGGTTTTTACTTTAACAGGTAGGTCTGTCTTCATAAAGCTCAATAATGACATAGTATATAGGATCAAGAGATGATTGAACACCAAATGAATTTTCTTGAAAAAAAAAAATGAGAATGGCATTTTATTAATAAGCATGCAGTTCCCTGTACTAATCGGAGTTTATATACATACATACATACATACATACATGCATACATACATACATACTATTCTGCAAAGCCTGGTAGGCTGGTACTCTTTGCTGATCAGAAATAGTAAGCATATTGATGAGGACATCTCAACTTTTTATTTATTTTTAGTTGGACTTTATTTATGTTTTAGATTTTATTTATGTAATTGTGCTTGTGTTGGCCCAAGTCCATTCTACTTTGGGTTTTAATCTTTACTATTTAAATCTAATTGCGATGTAATTTCATTAGTTTTGATGAATTGAAGAATATTTTGGTGGTTTGTTGCCTATGACTTCTCCTTCCTCCCCCTCCCCCTCCCCCATGAATTTCTGCTTCTTCTCCAGTTTCTTCCCCTATTCTCTCCGGTTCTCCTTTCTTTCTTGCTTCTTCTTTATATTTTTTTATTCGTCCTGCATCAAATTTGGTATCAGAACCTAAACTTAGGTAATCTCTCATCTCCAAACCAAAAATCTCTTCCTATTTCTTTTCCAAGAACTTGTGGAGCAGCACAAACAAATAAACTTTTAGCATGAGCAGCCAAGTTATTATTTTTCCAGCTTCTTCGTAGTTGTTACAAAAAAAAAAAGTTACCGTTCATTGTGGGTACTATTCACCTAGAATTTCAGTTTAGTATTTTAGTCAGTTTCAAAAAAAATAAAAAATAAAAAAAAAATACTGTTCACTGGTATTGTTCACGCCAAAAAAAAAAAAGACATCTTTTTTCCCTGCTACTGCTGCTCATAAATAAAAAAAAATTGCAGTGTTGTTCCACAAATCCCAAACCCTAGCATTCAAGCCCATTTAGCCCAACTAACCCAGCCTACTCTCTACGACCCAGGCCTATTCCCCAAACACTAACCTTAGCTGGCCCATCTCTATAACAGGATCCAAACCCCTTCCCATCTGGCCTAGTCCCAAATATCCAACCAAGCCCGATTATAACCAATCTATTAACATCAAATATCCCACAGTTTCACCCGATTCCTCTCTCACAACCACTCTTTTGCCGCTGTCGCCTCTAATCACCATCACGCTACCACTTCATTATCTATTGTACCCACGCACCAGAGCACTACTGCTTCATCGCCATAGGCCACCACCACCAACTCAAGATCATACACTTCCACCACAATTACCACACTCATATATTTCCTCGTTCATCTCAACAATGTAAAAGCCACAGTCACTACACACAGTTTTACGTCCACACCAGAACCAGCACAAGTTACAGTCAACAAGGGCTAAAACCATTGGACACAAAGGGAAGAACAGAAGCATAGTTGGGGCTCATAAGTCGGCAATTCAGATCAATCGGCATACAAATAATCAAAACTAAACAACAGGGAGTCCTTGATCTCTATTTAGTATTGGTTTATACTACTGCTTCATTTTTAAAATTGCATCAATTAAAATCTTGTGCTGCTGTTATCGTGATAATTTTAACCTTAAAAGCCACTTAAATTGATTGGAGAATTTGACTAGTGTATTGACCCTTGCTTTGTCATTTTACATGTACTAGCAGTATTAGCTTATTTTGGATTTAATTAATCCCAATATTTAAAATTAAATAAAAAAAATTGGTACAAGTTATTTTTCATTGCTTGCACCTATTGTTCACTGATCTCATCATAGCACATCATTTAGCCGGTATTACATTGCATGTAGTTGCATAGTGGTCGTCTTGTCGTCTCTATTTCCAATACATTGACCATGGATTCATCCCAAATTGATGCACTTACTAGATAATTAGCGCAACTTGCCACTAGCCTATCGACTGTCCAATCAGATATAACTGCTACTCGTGAGGAGAGAGACCCTAGCTGCTAAGTTGAGCAATTTTAAGCGAACCCCTCGTTTGACTGACACTAATTTTGAAGCGTCTCATAATAGACAATATCATTGTGGACAAAGTGATCAAGAATATTTTCGACGCGATCATAGGAATAGGGATCAGGTTC